TGGCTCAACGGGCTTGGTAGTGAGGATGGTGATCACTTGGGCGGGGTTGCTTCCTATCTCCATCACAGGCTTTGGCTCCCAGTACTCACCGCACTCAAAGATCGTATAGCGCCGGCCACTCTGCTGCACCAATGTGGTACGATGCGCCAGCACTTCAGGATCATACATGGTACTGGGATCAGCTGTGGTAGTGGAACTGTTGTTCACATGTGTGGGCTGACCGTTCTCATTCAGTTGCCAACCCTGTCTCTTCAAAGTGCTCACAAACGACTCCCCAAGCTCAACGACCATGCGCACCTGGGCCTCCTCTGCTCTGAAATTTTCATGGTAGCAGCAATGGAGTTCCTTGCCCAATGTAGAGGAAAAGCTTGAGAACCCTTGGCCATCACAAGGTTCTCTGAGCCAGGGCGAGGAAGCCACCCATCACGAATCAACTTGCCAGCACAAAGGAGTGGTTGCTTAACACGCGCTAGCACTGCCTTATCTTTGAAGACGATACTGCTCCCATCACAAGCTTCAGCAACGAACGTCACTGCCTCTGCTGCGGGAATCGACTCCGCAGGAGCGCTCGGCTTAATATGCTTGTATGGACACTTGTCCCCCCTGCTGCAGGCACCTCTCCCGTAATAGAAACAGATTCCTGACTCTTTCGAGATACGTGACTTTGATCGCGGAGGGAATGGACGAGGCGACGTGCTCCGTCCTTTCAGATTGTGAGAAAACTTACATCCGCTTCCTCTCGAGCACTTAAAGTGCTTGAAGTCAAGACGGATCTGGCTTCCTCGCAGAGATCGCGAAGGTGAGCAGCCCGACCGGGGCTGTGGGATCTACGTCTCGGAGAGCCACCTCGCGGCGACCCTCTCTTCGATTGGGACTGCTTCTCCGCGAATCACGGCGACCGGGACTTCTGGAGAAGCGCGGGTTTCCGGATCCAGATCGGTAGTTGCCAGACGCAGGAGCAGCGCTGTGTCTCCTGCCAGAGGAAGATCGAGCAACGGAATACATCTTTTCCTGGTTGAGTCGGCGTCGCCAAACTCATATCGCGTAGGCGCAAATCCTCCTCAAATAGGCATAGTTACGCACGGACGTATCTGTGTCCCAGAGCGACATATCGAGTTCGAGACAACGCATTTCCCGAACTTGCTCGTAGAACATAGCACATAGCATCTGATCAGGTGGCCGGTCAACCGAGATTCCGGCTAGAACATGATGGAACTTATCGCAGAAGGCTTCAAGCCTCTCCTGCTCAACACCATATCGGAAGCAATCAATACTTACATTCATAAGGTCAACGATCTTGAAAGTCGTATCACCCGTCACATGTGGTCTCAAGAAATCATAAAGGAGCCAAAATATCTGACGGCTTCCAAGACGTCTGCCAACAGTGTGCATACGCTCCGTTTCGGTCTGCATGTTGTTCTTCATCAGCGCAATGGACTTGATGCAGTCGCGGAAAGCAGCGTTGCATTCGTTCTCAAGCATACCATACTTGCACTCCTCGATGAGGTCCTCATATCGCGACCCATCGACAAAATCAACCCATTGCAGAGCATAAGCTGGATCGTATGCGAACGCATTCGCAACTTTCTCCTTCGTGTCAACAATCCAACGCCGAAGATGTGCAGGATCGGGCTCGGGTTCAAGACGAAACGTCTTGCCCTTGGCCTTCTTGTCATCAGTGGCACTCGAGCTGCCTTTCTGCTGCGAGGAGTTCCCGTCGGAAACAGGAACGCCTCCGTTTGCGCGATCGATGCAAACGATGCAAATCCGCATTGGATCTCGGCAGCACGTGTTGCAGCATGTGTACTTGCACACAACACAGTGTCGTCGAAGGTCGACGGAGAATCGCTCCTGACACCTTTCGCACTGAAACGTCTCAGGTCGTCCGGACGGTCGCATTGGTGGAGGATCGAGGCCTCCATCCGGCGGACCACCACCAGGGGGGCCGCCGTCACCACGGCCACCGCGGTCACCGCCATTGTTGTCAGGCGGACCGCCTGCAGGAGCGCGACTCGGACCACGACTGCCACCGTCACCTCCACCATACGCACCAGAGCCGACAGGATCGTTCCCATTACCATTTCCACCGACAGGATCGTTCCCATTACCATTTCCACCAGGTGGGCCACTACCATTCGGAGGGGCAGCGGAACCGCCTCCAGAGAAGTGCGGAGCATGAGTAGGAACGGGAGCAGAAGTGCATAGGTCAGAATTGGCAGCTGGTGGTCTACTCAGCAAGCCAGTGATCGGTGCAGGAGGGGCGATAGTGAACATCTGAGTCGAGCTCAGGACAGCGTCAATTCGAAATGCGATCGTCCCAGCATGGCATCATACCATCTTGATGGGTCAACGCCACTCGGCACTGAGCGAGAATCGCAGAAAATCTGACATGGTAACGTCGGACGAGGATGTGGACTCGAAACGGGTTTCGAGGGAGATCGAAATATCGGCGATTCCCTCTCTCAAGATCTCAAGATCTGCCTGTGTTCCCTGGACTCTGCGCGACACATGTGCCAGATCGTTGGCAATGCGTCCGGCAGCTCCGGGATCGAGAAATCCGCCATCCGGATCGAAAATGTGCTCACGGGGAGCATCGCCCGTATCGAGGGCGTGCATATCCCCGGCGCAGCCACGCGGTGCGAATATCGGTGCACCGGTGCTGCTCCCATCAGCCGCGGAAGCGGCAGCAGGAGGATAGCATGGGTCCGTTATCGAACGTCCCCATGCGTCCTGCCCAGGCCCGAAGAGGGCTCGGGCGCCCTCAACATTCCCCCGGAGGGAGAGGGGGCAAGACTGGTATGTGTCGGTCGTGGAAAAAGAGTTGTGCGGAGCAGCAGCGGAAGCATTCGCAGCAGTCGCAGAAGAGCAAGGCAATGCAGGCAAAATGCGACCGATAGCGGCAGCAGGACATGGCAAAGGCGGCACATGGGAAATCGCGGGCTGTGATCGCGGCAAAACGCCAGGCATCGCGGCGGCACTCTGATCGACCTCGGCAGCAGGGTTTGGCATGCGGCGGCGTGGCAGGCGAGGCAAGGCAGGCTGCATGAGCACCAGCATCAGACTCATCGTTCCGAGCAACCGGCGTCACTAGTGAAGAACCGCAGGTTGAAGGGACACGAGGGGAGCCGATCGGTATCATCCTTTCTCGGTAACGTATCGTCACACCGGTCTGAACGGGGCTCGGGGTGTTGCCAGGATATCAGTGGTGATCGAACACTAGTTGGATCGGAGAACCGGGTGCACGGCGGAGGCAGCAGGGTGGGCAATGGTGACCAGCCAGTAAGCACGAAGGCCTACGGCTGATAACCTGAGAAAAGCGGAGGATTCCACTTAACACCGGGTCACAAAGCAGGGCGCTTATCGGCTGACCCCCAAAGCACAGCAAAGGCAAAGCAGCAAGGCAAGCGGCTATGCAAGAGTATCGATCAAAGCTTCAAGCCGTTAGATTAATTGCACAGGGCAAAAGGAAACACCTACGCTCCCTAGCGCAAGCGGGCCTTTTCCTGGACGTCACTCAAAGTGCGTCTTGAGCAGTCAAGCTGCAGTGAAACAAAGTTGGCGTGAACCCTAACAAGCGAACAAGTGTACATGTAGACGAATCGGTAGCGAATCACACAAAGTTTAAAGATCTAATCATCCTCCAGCTGTAGTGTTCGAGGGCTAAGCATTAGAATCACGCCAGTCGGTTTTGGCAGAGGGGGAGGGAGGAAACAGTCAAGCTCCGGTTGCAAATCTTGGTTTCGGCAAGAAAGACTGCGGTCAGGAGAATTTGTGTCGGTGGTGAAGAACAACGCTAGGGCAGTTGTTGGACAAGAAACGAACCATTTCCGGCGAGGTTTGTGTTTGGGGGGAGTTAGAAGGAAACACGACACTCCGCCTGCCGCAAACGTTTGTTCTTGTCTCTACTAGGGTCAAGACAAACTCCGGCCTGTGGAGTCTCTCGGCCGGGTTTTAAGCGCAAAACTACCCTTCAAATCCCAAGTCTACCAGCAGGAGGAAACCCTCCTGCCCAGGCCCGAGCTTGTAGCGCCGTCGTCCAAAGGCAGCCAGAGTTTGTTTTGCATCGGTCATGGCATCTACAATATTTTGCCACGAGCTTCGACACCAAACCCGGTTGGCGAGTTGCGTTCTCGCCAAGGCACCAGCAACCAACAAGGACGGAGTTTGTTTCTCTTAGTCCAAACAAACCCTTGCCTGGGGGTGCGGCGTTTGTCTCTAGCCGGGCCAGGGTTTGTTTCGCCTAGAAAGACTGCCCCACCCAAGCTTGTGCGTACTGTTTTCGCGAGGGAAAAACATTCCCATGCCCGGCCCGGCCAGAGTTATTTTCGACAAGAAAGAACACACACCAGCCCGGCCCCAGCCCGAGTTTGTTTCCCTAGAAGAATGCACACTTGCCCCCGGGCCAGGGTTGATCCGATAAGCGGGTTGCAGCTTGGAAATCTTTCCGAGTCCTTGTTTGTCGACAGGCAGAGTCATGAGCAGTCGTCGACTAGTGACAGAGCCGCATGATGTTGAATTGTGTGAGGGGTGGTTTGCGTTTCCGCGGCGCTTTGCTGTGCTTGCATTTATCATCGTTGCTGGTGAAAAAAGCTTCAAGTTTGGATCCACATTCGGGTTCCACTAAGTGGTCCCAAAACGGGACCCCAGATTGAGACCGATTCTGTTGAAGACACTGGGTCCGTTCTGGGACCCGTTTATGGGTCACCGTTTGGAAGAGTTTTTCGGCTGCAGCTTCTGTCGACCGGCAACACACACCTGCAACGACAGCAGTCGTGCTGACCAGCGACAGCACCACGTAAGTTTGCTGTAGTTGCGTGAGGTGGTTTGTGTTACCGCAGCTTGAATCCACAATAGCAGTTGCAGATCTGTCCTACGGAATTAGTTGTGAACCGAGAGTGCGTAGTGCTGCAAGCTGACTCTGCATATCGTGTGACACAATCAGTGAACCACCTTTCGAAGCTTCGACCCCCTCCAACGCATCCCGTCGAAATCCGCCGAGCCTTTGGTGCAGGTGTGCCATCTCCACAAAAGCCGTTCCCAACTGCTTCACCGTTTGCCCGAAGAAGCCGTTAGCGAGCCCTTCCTGTGCTGCATCGAGAAAGGCCTCACTCCCTTGGCACAACTGACTTTCATGACCTTGGCTATCTCGTACCAGCGAGTCCAGGAGTTGGTGTGCATCATTGGTTGCGAGCTCTGCAAGCAGCTGGGTGTCGGAGATCTGGGCAGCAATGAGCCCCAAAGTGGACTCTGCCGTGGCCCAGGCCTCCTGCAAGATGCCTTGCTCGGCTGCCCGGCTCCGCCGGACGCTGGTGTAGGCCCAGCGAAGGTCCTGGAAGCTGGCCTTGCATTGCGTGTACGTCTCTAGCAGCTGCACAGCCTGCTGGAAGGACCTGTCAGAAACGGGAGCGCTCATCCACTGCTTTCTGTCCTCTGCAAGGCCCGGCCTCAAGTACTTCTCGTACGAGTCCAAGTACCTCGAAGTTTTGGCGGTATCCCAGGAAACCAACAGTCAAAGCAAACACTTTCTGACTGAGAAATTGAAGCAACATAGTAAGTAGTCCAAGTACTAGACAGTGATGAAAGCTGCAATACAGGCTCTTCAACAGAAAATAACATGTCAAAATCGTTGTAGGTTCGAAGGCCGAGGTGCCGGTCAATGCTGCTTCGCAGCGTCCACCAGAGCGTGTCGAGTGCGCGGAGAGCAGAACTTAAAGAGAGGCGACGGACATCTTCCTAGCACGTCGTCTACAGGAGCTCTCGTAAACTAGGATTCAGTGTGCTTTTCGGGTGGGGGGTCGTCGCTTGCAAGATGGATATGCATCTTTGATATCGAAGCCAAACACGTTAGTTTCGGTTTGCGACTCTTGCACGTGCACACAGCTGGCCGGATCTGGTTTAGCCTTTGGGGCGTAAGCGCGCGTGAAGCGCTTGCGCAAAGTTCGCAAAAAGCAATGTGAATGTGAACTTTATGCATTCCCCATGCTCCAGGACAGCGATTTTTTTGAGACTCACATCCGCAAGCCCCTTCCCCGTGAAGCTATGACCGCCAAAATTGAATGCAGCGGGAATCTTCGTAAGTTTAGTGTTGCCGATAGTGCTCCAGCTCCCTACAGTGGATGTCCTGCAAGCCAGATACGCCAAATTCTGATAGTCGCCGTTGCCAGAGCCTGGGAGAAAGGGCTCATGCAACTCGAATGCGCGCTGGCTAAACCCAATAAAACCCCACAAGCAAAATTCTTCGAGCCAGCAGCCGACTGTTCGAGGAAGCCCGGAGATAGACTCCCAGAGTGTGCGTCTCGGTCCGCAGGACCCTGTTCATGTCCCGGGCGTAGGCAGCGGCCCTGACAAGGTCATTGAGGACTCAGGAGACGGAGACCAAGCACCTTTAGGCAATACTTTGAAGCAGAACCAAACATTACCAAACTTTCGAGCCATGCGAAGTCATGACTACCTCAGCTTTCTTCTGGTCCCTCCTGCGCTCAATTGCCGCAGACGTCGACAGCTGCTTGGAGGTCGCGGCCCGCATCGTCGCGTGCAACGCCGAAATCTCACAGCAGATTCGATACAAGTTCGCTTCTACACGCTGGATAAAGGAACGTTTCCATTGAAGCATAACTTCCGACCGTGTATTCCTTTCCTTTGCACACTGACATACTGCAAAGGTCATATGTTTCCACAACCTTTTCTGTCACGACGTCCATTCCAAACTGCGTACTCTACAAACGGATGATGCTACCCCCACCCTGTGCTCCCCTTTCGGTCAAACTCCAACTGTTCCATAATGACCTCTTCCTGAAAAGAGGTCATCTTTTTGCTGTATCAGGAACAGCATGAACGGGTTTATAAACGCAGAAATCCAAGATGCAACATGTCCGGCGCACAATAAGTCTAAGTATTCTGAAGCAATGCCTTTGTGTACATGTGTCTTTCCATCTGTGCATAGCATTGCCACACGATATTTTGCATGTGCACGACTGGCACTCTTTGTTACCTGGCTACCTGCATGAGGGATATCTTTCTTTCACTATGCTGCATTACAACGAAGTGCTGCACAGCTGCCCACGGCCATTACTAAGCTTCGCTCTGCGAGTTCGCCTACTTTTCCTTCCATGCTTGAACATAGTCAAAAGAACTACGGCAGAGGGCCCAATTAGTGAAGTCTTGCATTTCTTCGGCGCAACCTCCTTCGAAGCAGCATGCATGGCCGACGTCAGGTTTGATGAGCTCTTCAGTGCATCCTGCAGCTCACGTGAAGCAGCAAAATTTCAAGCTCCAGGCAATATGCATGTGTCAAAATACGAGAATCGTCAATATGACAATATGTGTGTATGCAGCACAGGGATTACATTGATCACAGATGGATGTCGCTCAACGTCAACCCAAATCCACCTCCACCAGTACTAGCAAAACAGAGTTCAGGAGTCAGTAGACTACCACGCAGCCGAAGCAGCGACTAAAGCTGTGCGAGCTTATTATGCTCGAAGGAGCAATGCCATAGTATAGGGCACGACAGGCAGACAAATACAATCACAACTAGAGCCAACAAAAACAAATTACAGCTGATTACAAGCTGGCCAGCTACAAGGCATCAAGGGCCTCAACACAAACTCAGCGCGCGAAGATATCATTCCTTGTAGTAGGTGTGGGTCTCCGGGTCGGGCAATTCAACCGGGGGATGAGAGGATCTTAATAAGAGGGGACTTGCTCTCTCCCTCCCCCTCTCTCTCTCTCTATCTCTCTCTCTCTCTCTCTCTCACGGACTCGAGTCTTGCTGGGAGTATGAATCGCATCCCGGGAATGACGACAGCAACCGCTGCGCCAAATCGGAAGTAATCCAAATTACCAAATTACCTGAAGACTCTCATTTGACAAACCATGACAAACAATTCAGTTCGGCCTGGCCAAAGCCGGGCTTCGCACTGAGGGGTCAGCAAGTCCGCGACATGTCGGCTTGAGGGTTTAGGCTGAAAGGTTACGGGCTTACATGGATTTCCAATTCACTTCCGAAAACTTAAGCATGTATCCGGATCTAGGGTGTCCTGCTACTATTATACAGTCGAAACCCTGCACCCCTGCACCGCTTCACCGTACTGGCAATACTGGCTGTCCTTGCGGGAGCGGGCTGAAAGAGCCCGGTGCATCGCTGTGAGCGCCACCGGCTGCAAATCCGACTGGGCGATGGCAACACGGGTCGAAACTGAATCTCTTACTGGGAATTAGTTATTGGAGGCCACATATATCGGGATCTCGCATCCGAATCGTGCTACTGCATGACTACCGCCGACAAGGCGAGCATGAACATCTTCCGAGCATATCAGACTCGCAATGGGAAAGCGAGATAAACCCGAAAGGGGATCACCACCGTAATAGCCACATAGCATTTCCAAAACTGTACACAAGATGATTGCTATCATCTCCATGGCAGCATCCAGATCAGATTCAATTGCGTTTCCGATCTTCGCCCTTTTCTGTGCCATTCTCAATGTTGAACTGAGATTACGGCACGTTTTTGAGAAAGCAAGTTGTAGAGTCTGGGATTTACTTCGGGACAGCGATCAAATAATTGACGGCATCATTGTGCCTAGTCTGAGACCTAGACAAGAACTGCAACCATTACTCATATACGCTATTGCAAGGTCCAGCCACCTCCTGGTGCTAGTCAACCCCTCTTCCCTTTAAAGGGACCCAAAGCATACGAATGTACATCTTCGCTTCATGGTGACATATCCCAGCGCTGCACTGCACTGTGAAAGACCCGTTGCAGAGAAAGACTTTAAGGGACTTTTTCTGAGGGCCTGACACGCACCATGGACTGCATGTCTGCCAGATTCCTGGCAATGCCTGCGCGGATGTCCTGCGTCTGCTGAAGGAGGTTTGCTGACGTTCCCGAGCCAGTGTCCGAGAAGTAGAACTCAAAAAGATCACGCCTGCGCACGAAGCCAAGCGGCATCAACAGTCTGGAAACAACCACAAAAGATCTAGCACGAGTGCCATAAATCTAGACGCGGAGCATTTCCTGCTGGATGGTCTTGACGCCAGTCTGCAAACTTGACAGGATGGCTGCATCTCCCTTCTGCACAACGTCGCGGATACAGTGCAAGTCGCAGAACATGCGGGCCATTCCGTGCCTACCAACATCGCTCTAAGGGCTGCAGGGCACGATGCAGCAAGCTCACGTCTCTCACTGTATAAATCACTGTATGCCGACTCCTGCTCATGCGTTCTGTCTGCTTATCAGTTGGGCATTGGCAGCTTGGAGCTTTGCCGCTTGATGGGGTTTCCAAACACGACCCAGGTGCGCCAGTGAGCTGCAATCGTTGTCATTGGCATTCGCAGCGATCACTTCCTCCGCCGACTTGTGCAGCTCTTCATTGAAGTCGAAGAGAGCCCTCAGAGTGAGCAGCGCAAGCCAAGGACCAAGGAAGCACTCTCAGCTGCTATGACTCTTTTTCGCTTGTAACTTTCAGGATTTAACCTATAGATTCGGGCTTCAAAGCAACCTTTTAAGTCGAAGGGGTCATCAAAGCCTTGATTGCGCGCAACTTACCTTTCTTGTGCCTGTAAGCATCGTTTTGGGTTTGGTTCTAGGCTCTGCCACCGAACATCTTCTATCTGGGTTTACAGTCTGGTTTACGACATTTTAAGTTTTTGGGTTTGCCATCCAACGCTATTTTGGGGGGTGTGCTGTTTGCAACCCACGATCTACAGTCTTGGGGGGGTTTACTGTTTGCCACCCAGCATCTTCCTTTAGGGCTCAGGGTTTGCCATCCAACAGTTGTTGGGGGGTTTAGTGTTTGCCACCCAACGTCTTCTTTGAGTTTAGAGTTTGCTGCCCAAGACGTTTAGGTTTACGACCTTCCAGGGTTTAAGGTTTGCCAAGACATCTTCCTTAAGGGTTTAGGGGTTTAGATCTTGTCGGTGTAGGACGTTGAGGGTTTTTAATGCGACCCTTCGGGTGCCACTCAACATCTTCTTTCAGGTATTTAGGTTTGGGTTTACCACCTTTTTAGGGTTTACTGTTATATGCCGCATCTCCACTCCTCGTGGGCCCTCTACTTGAATTGACAGCTGCGGCTGTCTGCACGTCTCGAAAACTCAATAGTTTCATCCGCACCCCACAATGACCATGTCCTAGACTGTTTCAACTTGTTTGGGATTGCCACTGGAGTAATCTGCCAGGTGCCGGCGCTGGAGCACTATGCCGACGCCGTAGGCCCAAGCAATGTAGCAATATCGACACGAGTGGACGAAAAGCGCTGTAGGGCAACATGCCAACGAGCGATGAGTCTCCAAGCGGAAACGACATGCTCGCCAGCCGCGAAAGTATCGCAACGGGCCATGATAACACTGGTTGCGATGGGTTTCTCCGTTCGAAGCAACAAAATTAACACACGGGCGCCACTTGCAGCCCGAGGTTCAGAGAAGATAAAAGCGGAAGAAACAGGGTGAAGAAGAGGCCGCAAAGCAGAAAGATGACGCAAACGACGACAGCAATCAGGGAAGCAAACATGTAAACTATCACGTTACTGATATATCAACCGTATGCATGAACCCCAAACCCAAAGCCAAAACAGCATTCTTGTTGCAATCGAGCATCTGGCCGACCTGGCTACGTGCCATGCATCGTGGGTGCAACAGGGTTTGGGTGCTCACACTCCGAACTTGCCAGGTCAGGATGGTTCGAAACAGCTTGCGGTTTGCAGTATTTATTGGGATGTGTGTGGGGCCAAACATCGTCTCAACCATGGCTGAAACCAGGCAACGAAAGCCATGGTAAGAACCCCCGTTTTGTTGTCCATGGATGCAGCAGTGTATCCCAAAAAGATCCAAAAAGCAAGCCCGTAGATTCCCGTAGGAGTATAAAAGAATGCGGTGGGTAAGCGTGTCTGCCCTTTCGGCAGCGCTTCTCCAAGCCGTCAATGTCACCGGCGCTGCTGGCTTCACCCATGTCGCCCGCCCATGCCGTCCGTGCCACCCGTGCACTGAACACCCCCGCACCGTTCACCCTCATCGTCTGCAACGTCCATCATTGTACTTTGATTGCTTGTGCTGTTCTTCTTCCTCTTCTGGTGATGATTACTTTTCGTCTTGTGATTATTTTTGCCGGTATGACTACCACTAGCATTATCATTATCATCATAACCATTTTTACAATCGATGTCATTGTCATTATACTGTTGTTATCCGCATGAACATTCTTATTACTATTATTACTGCTACTATTGCTACCATGACTAATTTTACAGTTTACTTATTGATTAGTTATTTGTCTGCCTACTTGTCCTTGGTTGTCTTTATCCGTTTTTAGTATCTAATGTCTATTTTTGGCACTCGCTCTCGACGCATCAGGCGAGGCTCCAGTCTGAAGACCAGGAAACCCGGCCATGCCGGTTCGCACAACATGGGTTTAGGCTATAGCGAATTTACCGGTAAGGGTTCCGGGTTTGAGGAGAAGGTCCCGGTAAGTTCTTTGATGCAACTAGCGTGAAAGCCCTTCGCAAGTGAGCTCGTTTCTAGAGCCATATTGCACCTTGCAAAGATACTGATAATAATACGAATGCAAATACTACTGCTAATACTTGTGCTGGTACTAATATTTGTACGAAAACACCAAATTGTTGTTGGTTCCGTTTTTGCTTTGTTGTTTGTTTGTTGGTGTCGTTGTTTGTCTGTTTGTTTGCTTGCTTATTTGCTTGTTTCTTGTTTACCCAGCTATTTCTGTACTTTATCTGTTCATCTGTGCATGATATCAGGATAATGAGTACTATTCGTCTTTTTAAGTCTTATTAGTGTGGTGATTTACTTATCTACCCATCTATTTCTGACGATGATAATGATGATTGGAAATGTTATCATCATTAACTATTAACTATTATCACCATAATTAATCATTACTATGAGTGCAAGTCTTACCAATATGCTATTTTCATTGTTCTCATTCGTACTGCTATTCTTATTTTTATTAGCATTATGAATATGATTAGAATCATAAGTATATGAGTGCAATTTTTGTTTGTCGTCCTTACTATTACAAGTGTTATTAAAATCGCTATCCCAAATGTTAGTGTTACTACTCCCCTTGATATCTTGGCCAGTACTACATATTATTGCCATGATTGGTGTTACGATCCCTGTTGTTGGCTGTTGTTGTTGTTGCTGTTGCCGCTGCCGCTGCCGTTGCCGTTGCGGTTGCTGTTGCTGTTGCTGTTGCTGTTGCTGATGTGTTGGTGGTGAAACGAAATGTTGTTGTTGTTCTTCTTCTTCTTCCTCTTCTTCTTCTACATGTTGATGTTGTCATTGTCGTTATCGTTGATGCTGCTGTCGTTGTTGTTGTTCTTGTTGCTGTTTCTGCTGGTGTTGCCCGTGTTGCTGCTGTCGCTGTTGCTGTTGTTGTCGTCGTCGTTGTCGTTGTCGGTTTCGTTGTCGTTGTCGTTGTTGTTGCTGTTGTTGTTGCTTTTGTTGTTGTTGATGGTTGTATGTTGTTGGTTGTATGTTGTTTGTTGTTTGTTGCATGTTGTTGTTGTTGCTGTTATTGTTGTGGTTGTTATTGATGTTGTTGATGATCTTGTTTCTCTTGTTGATGCTGTTGCTACTGTTGCTGTTGTCGTTGTTGTTGTTGCTGTTGTGGTTGTGGCTGTTGTTGCTGTTGCTGTTGCTGTTGCTGTTGTTGTTGGTCTTGTTGATATTGCTATTGCTGTTGTTGTTGTGGTTGTTTTTGTTGTAGTGGTAGTGGTCGTGGTAGTGGTAGTGGTAGTAGTAGTAGTAGTAGTAGTAGTAGTAGTAGTAGTCGTAGTAGTAGTAGCAGTAGTAGTAGCAGGAGTACTAGTAGTAGTAGCAGCAGCAGCAGTAGTAGTAGTAGTAGTAGTAGTAGTAGTAGTAGTAGTAGTAGTGGTAGTAGTAGTAGTAGTAGTAGTAGTAGTAGTGGCAGTAGTAGCAATAGGAGGAGCAGCAGCAGCAGCAGCAGCAGCAGCAGCAGCAGCAGCAGTAGTAGTAGTAGTAGCAGTAGTAGTAGTTGTAGTAGCAATAATAGTAGTAGTGGCAGTGGCAGTGGCAGTGGCAGTGGCAGTGG